AGCTATTGACGAGGTTTAATGTTATCAATAAAAAATTGAAAACAATTTTTTTTTAATATATATTTCTTTTGGCATGTTGGGAAAAAAATATGAGAGTAAAATTTTTACGATGCGCGCGCACACCGACAGCCAAAAAGCGACATGATGAAGTTAGATGCATTCCTTTTACAAACGGACAGTTGTGACATATGGGATGAAATCTTTAGGTATTTTTGTTCTGTGACGCCAAAGAAGTATAACTTCTTACGTGCGTAAATAAGTACACGCACACGTTTTTTTGTTTAGTAACTATTGACAAGCTATAGGTGTTATCGATAAAAAATGAAAACAATTTTTTTTATGTAGATAGGTAAATTCTATTTATATGCATATCTTTATCGTCAAATTTTCAGTATTAATTATGATCAAATTTCGACCGCTAGGTTATTATATATACCCAATTATAATTATACATATCGGATTACTATTATAAAAGCAAATATTTGTATGTCAAATGTTTGTGTCAATTTTTCCTCACTGAAATGGTCACAGGGATTTGGATAAAATAAATTGAAAATTGAATGGATAGAGGTATACAGATAGACTATGACTGGAGTGACAGGCTACTGTTAGGTCTTAGAAATGCAACAGAGCGAAGCGATAATCGATAAATCGCTAGTATTACATAAACTTTACATTACATTTTTATTCGATACGTCTCGCGCTCCCTACAGTACGGAAATAGATATTCGCAAAGGTTTCCATCACTATTTGAAATAGTGATGGAAACCTTCGCAGACGTGCACTTAACCGCATTCCATACCTATTCAAACCAAATTATTCATTTTTACATAATGTCTTGGATGAATCTCAGTTTTCATACGAAATATTTAATTTATATCGAATTAGTTTTTAAACTTAAGCCATAATTTAAATCTTGGGAGGATTTAGTGTGTATTCGTATTTCGTTCATAATTCTCAAACTCATTAATAAATATATACTCAAATGTATTTTGTGAATTTATCACAAGGAATTTAAAGAACATAGTTACTATTAACATTATTGTCAAATGGCTTTTAAGATTGTATTATTATACGTATAAAGTAAAATTTCAAAATGACTTATGGCAATTAAATCATTCTCTTTTGTCTTGTGGCAATCAATTTCAGCTGTAAAGTCATTATAAATCAATCAATGTAAGCTATAAATGTTAATAATAAATAGATACAAAGTCCCAATAACTAAAGAAAGTATAACAATATTTGCTTAAAATTATTAGTATTGTCTCAAGTAAATTAGATGTTTATGAACAATTACGTTATATGCTAAAGGGTAGAGAATGGTACAGAATCATAACAGACAAAATATCATTTAGTGGGTACTATTACATTTACAAAGTATGAACTACTTACAATATTCAATTTGTTAAAAAAATATTTCTTTACCCATAGATTTAGTTTTTTATTAGTATAAACATGAATGTTCTTCTGCAATTTATTAAGTATATATACTTATGTCGTATATATAAATTCATTGTTATAACAATTATTTTGTTCCGCGGTCGATTTGTGTCTATTATTATTTATGTGGCGAAATAAACTATATTCAAAGAGGCTTGAACAAATTGTTTATAACTTATCACATACAGGCCTTGGTTAATTGAGAAGGCCGTTTATAGACCTTTAGGATTAATCTCTGCTTGCAAAATACCTACTTCTCTACGAAAACGACCGTGTTACGGACTTATTTTTGCATCTAGTTATATTTGAATCGAAAACGCAAACTTTGCAGGTGTAAGATATTAAATGTCAAGTTTCTTGTCCTAAACAATATATTTTTGTTTTTAGAAAGATTGATTCATAAAATATTTATAAGCTCGTGAGTTTTTAAATATTTTGTTAAATAGCTGTTTTTAAATTCCTTACTGAGGTTGATAGGAAAAACGTAGTAAAGACTTTCGAAGTACCAGTTTAGATACAAAATTAGCATATTATTTAGAAAAAAAAACTATTTTTTTTTATTATAAATATCTCGAGGTTTTTTTCCAAAAGGTAGGTTGATAGGATTCAGTGCTTTCTATGTACAAAGGTACCTCGGTTCGTAAAGTACGTCAATGCCATTAAATACTAAATTGGCTATCTAATGACAAAACCTTCATCAATGTTCATATCGTAGCGACAGTATGTCATCGTCCATCTAACGCCCTGATCGCAGTGAGCGTAGCTCTTGGTAATAATGACTTATTTAATACTAAACTGATATTGAAGCATGACCAAATATTCACATGAAATAAATTGCTTTTGAAAATTTTATCACTTATAATATATTTGGGAATAAAAATAACTTTTAAGTTGTTGTTAAAGAAATAAACTCGTGTATTACACTGTAATGTTTCTATAATAGTCTTTAGGATACATTCGTTTTAAATACACATAATATCTGCTAAAAATATAGCCATTTATATTTTAGGATGATGTTAATGTTAAGTGTTGTAAGTGCACTGTTCATTTCACCAATATTAGCAGTTTGATTTTCATAGTGTATGCTTTCTTTGATATTAGTAGTTGAAACGACTTCTCTATCTTCATCGCAAAAGGTTTTAAGCGATAAACCAAAGTTTTGTTTTCCTTAAGTAGTTAGTTTAGGAGTGTTTTCCAAATGTTAATAGTAAAATATATATGAGAATGTATCGTTTTATTAATTTATTATTTATATTTAAACGGTCCAGCTGCAAGTCATTTAATATCAAGCAATCGACACCTTCGTGTGAATGATGACATTGAAAGATTATAGCGTTAAGAAATATTACACCATTCGCACTGTCCCGTACTTTTTCTAGCGGCTGATGAATAAAAATGAATTTTATGGTTTTAATCATAAAGTATATATATATTTCCCCATTAATAATTTTACAAAGTTAATAATTGCTTCCGCAAACGCGAAATTTCTGTTTGCAAATGACAAAGTAAAAGTTTAATGTAACATGACTCCATTTTCACCTTTGGTTTCGTTTGAACTTTAAATTATTTTACTCATTTCACCCCTAAATCGTTCTTTGATAAATACTTATGTACTTAGAGTGAATTGCAATACTGTAACGATTCTTTCCTTAGCAACACTATATTTAACTCCAAGGATACTAATAAAGGTTGCAATATTTATATCATTGCACTACATTTAATATCAACAGATTAAAAACAACAAGTAGCTATTTACGTTCACTTTACAATAATGTACGTATCTAGTTTATGATCATAGATACGTTCTTGATGTATGAAATAAAAACTGCCTAAGAATCAATGGTGTAGTCCACGTGATAGTTTACAATGACTACCTATAAAAAAACTAAATTATTTAGTACTTGAAATTATAACTAGAACATTATATTTTCTACTATACCATATCTATCTATAAGATTTTGCAATAATTTTCATCTATACCCTCGTAAGCCGTTTAGTTTGACATTTTCCGTGCCTGTCGTTTGCCATGACATCATCCCATTATGTCACTGTTTGACGTTACACTAAATGCTTGATTAATATGGTTATAATAATATGTTTTGACTTACTAAGTTACAACACGGTTCATATATGTATACTCGTACATAAATTGTAATACTAATTATAAGTGTGGGTTATTAGATGTTAATTTGATATTATAGTTCCTCTAAAACACATTGTTGGCATAGGTTCATCAAATAATGAAAATTGTTAAAATTACACTAATATTAGTACACATATTTTTATTAGTTACATACGAAAGCTTGACTGTGAGTTTGTGTGTTTCTAAATTTACAGAAATTAATAAATAAGTTTTTAAGCAAAAATAAACGCCCCATAACTTCATGACCCACTTTCCGATTATTTCTTACGATGGGTATTTGGGTGGCAGTTGCATCTTCAAATTTTAATTTTAATATTTATCCGATAGTTAACTTAAGCTTCTTACTTGACAAGATCTTCTTGCCTTCACATATCGGTTACAATTACATAATAATTACATGTGTTCTCTAATTACGGTTGTAATATATTCGACAGATCCACGCGGATCAAGTGGTCAACAAGCTAGTGTCACACAAAACCAGCCACCATGTCATGTCACGGATAACATAAATGATGTATGATTGATGGCTTCGGCTTCTTGATATCTAATCGTATTGTAACGCCCTGTCATTACTTTCTCCTAGGATTATTACCCTCTATTTCTTAAGTCTAATGTTTCAATATACATATGTTTAGAATCTATTTGCTCAAATTTGAACCTAAATGATTGAATATTGATTTAATGTCATATAGAATTATCCCTGTACATAATTATGTTTTAATTCAAAAAGTACAAAATCGCTTTTAAAGTATTTTTTTCCTTATCAATTGTCTCATGGAATATCGCTTAACATATATGTTCCAGAACGGACATCCGGATCAAGTACTTACTTCTTTCTTTTTTTTGGCAAAAATTAAGTTGGCCATAATTCCTAACCATTACAAGAAATAAAAACCCTCTTTCTGTCAAAGTCTGTTTCAGATAAATTTAATATTTTCGCCCCCCTAAAAATGGAATTATTTTAATTACTTTTAAAATGCTAATGAAGTCGGGGTATTTTTTTTGTTAAAATGTAATTGAGTTGCTATCGATTAAACAATCACGAGTAAGAGAATACTTTGCCATTTATATTTATTACATATGACGATACACAATACCGCTTTACGCCAGGCATCGCTTCATGTCGGTGGCAGTAATTAAAATTTTATCATATTAGTAAAGAAATTACACATCGACACGTTTCGTTTTAACTTCATATCGTTTTTTTTGAAGGTTTTACTCGCTTTAAATAATACTAATAAACGATCCTTTAAAAGCCATTACTAAATGATGTGAAAAGTGAAAATTAAGTGTGAATGCAAGAAATGGAATAAAATAGATACGGGATTCGATATAACATTTATTCAAAGTGGCGAAGTCCGAGTCTCGTGTCGTGTTAGTGGGTGATGGTCAAGAGGATGGATGTTGTTGTCCTGGTATGAGGATCGCAGATATTGGAGGAGTTCTCCTGGAAGCTGCTAAGCTGACGAGGTCCTGGTTTTGTCAGAAGCCAGATTACGGGTAAGATGTGAATCTTGATTTACGTGGAATTGTGATCCATGTTTCTTAAAAATTAGATTAATAATAAATTACATACATAAGTACATCTTTTCAAAGAGATAATTAGTATATTCAATTATTAAACTTCATTAGTAATTATGTTTTACTCGTAATTATGTCAATAACAATAGTACAAAGTACGTTAGTTATTACAAACACAATAAGAAATATATATTTATATTATATTCATCGACCGAAATCAAAAGTACACTACGATTTTAGAATCTGAATGTGCAAAAAATCTAAACAAATTTTTAGAAAAGCAATTCGCTTTCATACACCACATAGATTTGTTAAAAAACGAGAGCAATCCATTCCATCAAACCAGGCAATCTCCCGCAAACGTTGCCCACTTTAATAACCGACTACTTTTTCTGAAACTGGGTCGTTCCTGCAGCTAGCGGGTGCATTCATCCGTATTAATCAAGTCGGTGCAACTGAATAGGCCCCACTAACAATGGGGGGGATGTCTCGCTCTATTTGACAAATAAACTGCAAACGATACTCAGCAAGTGCCCTAAATACTCATATATAGTCATTAACCTTTAAAAAGCTCAGTAATGTGTTTTATTTATTTTTATTACACGAAAAAGTTTTTAATAACTACATTTTTTACAAAAAAATGTTGCGGTTTTATCCGTATATATTTTTCAGGTAATATTTTAATGTTTCAGTATTTTTAATGAGAATTCCGAGCTGACCTGAGATAATTTCAATTGCGGTAGCCGTGAAATGACCGACATTCATTTCAGTACTAGTAGTGTAATGGTTCTCTGATTTTTTTCAACTTATAGGGTTTTATATTTTTTGACTTTCTGTAACTTATTCTACAAAACCTTGAATTTGAATTATTCAACTAAAACTAAAACCAATAAGTTGTTTATACAAGAATGAGTGATCTCGTTCTTTTCATAATGTGTGTGTGCTATTACTAATTGTCCACTACCATTTACTTCGATAATTGAGAAATTGTTTGTTTTCTTTTTCCATTAAAAATTAACTCTCACTACAGTATCTCTAGCTGTTAGTATAATAGAGTACAAACACTGCAGCAATTTAACTGTAGTATCGAATTTCCCATTTAAGGCGTGCCGCAAGGCTTTATTTTGGCGCCGCTCCAGCAACACAAGAGTTACATATTAATTGGCAAGCTTTATCCGACGATAAGTGCGTCATAAAAACCTATTGTTTGCATTGATTTTAATTTTACGCCATAGCAGTTTTTCTCTACTGCTCGCTAGTTTAGGCAATACGGTTACTTTTTACTTTTTCATGTGAACATATTTGAGCAAAATATCTAAGCTAATTATGTAAGATAGTATTGTGTAAAATTTCTAAATGTTAAAATTCCTAAATATTACTGTAACATTTTTAAAGTACTTAAATATGAATGCAAACGAATATTATGCAAAATATAACTATAAAATCATAATTAGCATAGAAAAAGATGTTTTATCTCTTGTTATTTACACGTCTATTTTATCATGATTACGTCAAAGACCGCTCTTAAGTGCATTTACATCGGATCCTTTAAGGAAATGTAAATCTGAAATCTTTATGCAAATTGAAGCAAGACGACCAATGAGAGTCTTCAGAGTCGTGTCCTGTAATCTTATCGTTTAGTTTATTCATACATTTGTTGTCTGTTCACGTTGCTTCTTTAAGAGTTTTTTGTTAACATGTTAATCTCGATACTATTTGAATTTTATTAAATTTTTGCGTTATATTTTTGGTTAAACCAACTTGAAGTTAAATAAAATTTGTTTATAATAAATTTATAACAAAAGATTAAATATAAAGTTTAAAGAAATAGTTAAGTAAATGCTTTCTGTAAAATTTTAAAAATAATAAAACATGTGACTCAAATATTACTCCAACTGTATAAACTCTCATATTTTCATCACTACCGAATTCATCTTCAAATTACATTTCTATTTAGCTTTGCAATTTCGGCTGAGTTAGTTCTAACTCGTGTGGATATTTAGTTAGCTCGTGCACCTGAAGGCATACATATGTCTGCGCCTATGTACATGTAGATGCATATCATAGAAACTACCAAGACCGATTGCCATATTACGATATGATAAAAATGAATAAATAAATCAAATTACGTATAAATATGAAAATTTGTAGGTCTGTTTGTTATTTTTTCACGGTAAAACGGATTATCTAAAGGATTTGAATGAAATCGTAATGGAGTTACTAGCTTATATCTTGGATCAAAATAGACTTCATTTTAGCAACACATCTACACAAACAAAGCCACAGTAAAATACTAGTGATAGCTATTTTTCGTAACATATTATATACGTTTATATATATCATTATATCTAGTTTTTTGGTACTATTTTGCCTTTAATGGTTAACTTCATCCACAATGGAGAAACAAAGATGGATATCTAATCTGTTCATTTTTTATTTATATTGTTATGTGAGCTGATATATTAAATCTGATTTGAATTTACCATGACGATATTCCTGTTGCAAACTTAACTGAACTTGAATTTAATGCCATACATATTAATGCCCTTTTGGCGCACTAGTGCGGTGCAAATCTTTGTATTATTGGCTATGTAGATGTTTATATTGGTCTCGTTAAGGGAATATTATCTATCATGTAGATTATTATCTTATGTATATATATCGCCATAAAGATTTAGAGATTTAGATAAGAATATAATATCTAATTTTAATATTTACGAAACAACTCAAATTCAAATTCCTTCGAACTTGCCAGGTATCTTCTGGTCTTAAAGAATGCTTTAGAAAATCGTCTTAAGAATATTTACCGTATTTTCTTCTCGAATTCCAGAGAACAAACGTTTATCTGGTATTTCGCTTTGATATTGTAGACGATTTAAATTACGATGATTTAAATTATAGATTGTGCTTTGTTTTTAACTTTGTTAATAATTGTAGCTTCGTTATTCTTAGCTTTTATAACATATTTTATATAAAAAAATATATTTATTTAATACATATTTTTTTATAATAATACCTATTACCTATTAGAAAGGGCCATATGCATATTCAGTCAAAATTACGTTGATTTCTAGTACATACATTCTGTAACTATTGTTCTATATTAGTTTCTAGCTCTACAGTCTTGCATTGTCATCAAGCTTATGCTCTCTGCGTACTCATATGTGAATTAAATGACATTCAATTCTGGTAATGGTCAAAGTTAAATTTGTATGGAATTGCAATAATTAGATGACACGTGTGGCTCAGTTTGTAGTGACCCCACTTGCTGTGCCAGCGGTCGTGGGTTCGAGTCCCGCTGAGGGCATTCATTTGTGTGATGAGCACGAATGTTTGTACTCCAGTCATGGGTGTTTATATTTATAATATGTATATATTTAAAGTTATATATGTGTAGTGTATGAACTATCTGTTATCCATAACACAAGCCTCGTAGCTTACCATGGAACTAGGTGGTGCTGTGTGTTAATGTCCCAACTAAAAAAATATATAACTAGACGAATAAACTGAAGTAAAAAGTATTAGTAGTGGGAAATTTGCTATATATTTTTTCTTGCATTATATTATAATGAATTATATATATATTTATATAAACTGTACAAAACATTGTTAGTTCATTTCACCATATAATTATATATTTATTATATATTCCAATACTAGATCAATCTCTTTTATTTATACTATAGATATATTTTAATATACGTTATAAGATATCAGATCAGAAACCATTCAAATTATAATCTGAAGTGGTTTTCACGAACTTTCTATGTAGTCGTGACTATCGTTTCATATTCTTGTTGCTAAATACGAGCACACGATTCCGCGATTTCCAGAGATGCTTGGCAAGTATCGATTATCGCTTATGAAGTCTAGAATTTTCATCTGTTAAGTTTATGTTTCGTTGAATTGTATTTATACTTTATCTAAGCAAGGTTTACCTTAATATCTATACATATAATGAAATTGTAACTGATCGCTGTCTGTACATGAAAAATATTTGAGAAAAACTATTATTATATTAGCACAATAGAACCAAAAACAATAATTTTTAGAATTTGTGCCTATTTGTCTATGTGTTTGTGCGCGCTAATCTCAGAAAGGGCTTAACCGATTTGGGTGTGGTTTTCACTAATGATACATAAATAAAAAAAATTATGTCAATTGAAAGAATCACCCAAGACGAACGCGAGCGAAGCGAGGGTGAGTCGCTAGTTTTAAAATATACATAGCTTTGGTTACTTGTTGATGATTTTTCATTATTTATTTTATTTGCCAGTTTATGTGATTCCGCTATTGTCTCCTTTGTGAGACCATGTAAAGTGCATAGAATAGGTTCTTCTTCCTTATCTTTCGATGCATTTGATTTATTGAAATAAAATGTTAATATGTTTTTAGTTCAAAGTTATACCTTTGCAATAATTATATAAAAATGTGTGAAATACACGAAGAAATAGTAATTTTTTTAACTTTTTCAATAATTGGTTTTCAACCACAAAAATGAAATAAAAAAACTGTGTACATGTTTGATCTTATTATAATTTTATCATATGTGACTATAGATAATGTATCTTTGAACAACATGTTTTGGAAAGTACCTATATAAATGTTTTTATATAAACTTTATTTTTTATTTAGTTTTCCTTGCTTAATTGGCGAGACGATTTGATTTGTGCCGTTACGAGTACTCTAAGGTGGACGAATGTTTGTGATATTTTAAAGTTAATTTTTTCATGGTATTTTTAAGTTAGTACATTGTATGTAACAAACCTGGATATTAGGATGTTTGACCGCTGTGCCTCGAAGAGCACGTAAAGCCGTCGGTCCTGCGCCTGATTTCTCACCCGTCGTGTTGTCGAATTATTGTCGTCCCATTGGAATTTGAGAGTGAAAGGAATAGAATGCACGTTGTGTCTGCGCATACAAAACAGTGGTGGTTTAGTGGCTAGCATGTACGGCTGCACATCTGGAGGTCCTGAGTT